AAAGGTACATTCGTCGAAAAGTGGGTGAAAAATTGTCGCCTAAATGCCTTAAGACTAGTGTTAAATTCGGTGGAGGAAGTGTCAGGGTTTGGGGGATGATATCTGGAGATGGTGTGGGCCCTTTGGTGTGATTACATGGAAAGGTAAATGCCAGAGTTTATAAACAACTTGTAAAAGATCATGTCTTGCCTGTGCTGAGAAATTCAACTAAGTGACCACCCATATTCAATGCCCCATGTCACAAGGGTAATGTGGTCATGAACTTCCTCAAGGCTGAAAAGGTTATTGTTATGGATTGGCCTGCTCAAAGCCCAGATCTCAATCCTATTGAAAATGTGTGGAATATTCTAGGAGAACGTTCGAAAGCCAGAAATCCTTAAACAGCCGAGCACTTATGGAATGCCCTTCAGGAAGAATGGAATAAGATCACCCAGCAAGAAATTGAAAATTTAATTTCCTCATGCAGTCGAAGGTGTCAAAGTGTGATTGAAGCTAAAGGCCTTCACACTAAATGTTAAATAATTCCAGTATTCTCTGTTATTTTTGATTATTTTGTTATTTTTTCAACCGTTCTGATCCTTTTGGCCGCCATGGGTTTTGCAGTAAATCACTAAATCATCCATAACTTTTGTATTATCCTCTCAAATTACACTAAAATCTCAGACAATAACAATTAATATCGTATTTATTGTCTGTGAAAATTATAGAATATAAAACAACTTTGATAAAAAATTATACCTACTTTTTCTGATGAAAACAATGCCGTTCTGAACATTTTGACCTCAAAGAGGCCAAATCTTCATTTGCTAACAGAATGAGGCACTGTATAGCCTCTAACAAGTTTAGTTCACGTGATTACTGGTAGCACTGTTAAAGTGTGTTAAATAAAAGTAAGTTTTCTATTCCCCCTCTCTTCACTCAGTTTTAGGTTTTATCATCATCTGCTGATAAAGCAGAACGTTTTGCTTGTAAATTCTCTTCCAATTCTACTTCTCACTCATCTGGAGTATCTTTGCCTGACTTTCCATTTAGAACTGTCTCTATTGTTTGATATACATATGTCCATGGTTTCAGCTATCATTGCCAAACTGGATACCCAGAAAACATGTGAACTTGATATCTCTGCAATAGCCCTTGAGAAATGTGCTCCTGTTCTCTCTAAACTTTACAATGCTTTCCTGTTTCTTGCTTTCCTGCTTGTTGGATATCCTCTTCTGTAGTTCCAGTCTTTAAGAATTTAGGTGAACTACCTGATCCTTCTACTGGTCTAATAACCTTCTACCTCTTTTTGGCAAAGTACTAGAGGCTCTAATCAGCTCTGAATTGGTTAAGCATCTCACCTCACAGGGCCTTCTTTCAGATAAGCGATATGGCTTTCACTTATCTTGTTCAACTGCTGATGTGCTAACAGTTATTGCTGAACGAGTATGAAGCTGATAAAAATGAAAGCTGTCTTGAAGAGCCACTCTTTTAAATTTTTTTTGCATTAATGCAGATGTTACCCAGAGCTCTATCCTTGGACCTACATTGTTCTTAATTTTCACCAATGACCTTCCAAATGATGTTCTCAACTCAGTATCTAAGCTGATGGTACAACTATTTATACCTGTTTTAATGGTAAGTTTGTTTGGTTAAGGTTAAACTGACAGTTGATCTAAAAAATTACCTAAAATCTGTTGTTAACTAGGACAAGGAATGGTTTGTTCATTTTAATACCTCAAAAAAAAGACTGTATTTTTTTGAGAGAGAACCCTTTTTGCCAACCAACATGGCTAATGTTAACATCGAGGAGAGGGATTCATTGTGCCTTCTTCAGCTAATATTTTTTACTGACATGAAGTGGAAAGGTTATATTGAATCAATTTCTAGATCTGCTGCTAGGAAAGTTGTTTTACTCTGTCATGCTAGATAATTTTTCCCAACAGAATCGATCTTACATATTTATAAGTCTACCATTTGTCCTTGCTTTGAATATTGCTGCCACATCTGGTGTGGTGCTTCTGCTATGTATTTAGAGCTTCTTGATAAAAATCCAAAGAAGAATCTGCTGTGAATCCTCTTGCATGTACCCCTGAGTCTGTTTCCTGTGAGTCATCAGGAGTGGCTTTTGGTTCATTCCTATAAAGGCTGGAGAAAAATTCCAAATGAAAGCCAAAATTTAATATTTTTTGCCGTGTTCGTATTGGTTGAAAATATGGTGTGCTTACTGCTACGTCTGTGTGAGGTAACAGAAAGTCTGTTTTTACATGTCTTTTTTGAGACCAGATGAAATTGTAATTGTAGAGGGAATTTGAAAATGTATTTTTTATTTGTGAGTATTTTTGAAATCAGAACAGGTTTTAAAAGGTATCTGAAAGTTTTGTCGTTTCTTGATTGATTCAAATGTCATTGATTTTACAATATACAAATGGAACAATCTCAACTTGTAGAAAATTGATACAGTATTAACATAAACTGGAATCAAATATATTTACAGGTAATTTCTGTCTAAATTTCTTTAAAAATGAAGATGTGGACATCAGTCTTAATAGATTAAAATATTTACAGAATGGTTTAAGAAAAAAAAACTAATATATAATTCAAACTACTTATCACACATTTGTGCCTATTGCAAAGTATAAAACATTTGTAGTAATGCAGTAGTTAGTAAGCTGATCTTTTTTTCTTTTTTACAATGATGTTCACCCTATACAAGAGCCACTCAAGGTAGAGGGATTACAGAGTAAGAGGCACAGTTTATGGGGATATGTGGGGAAGGTAACAGTTGACCCTAGACTTGAACACACCAAGATTGTCAAAATCAAGGAAGCATCAGTTTGTAGAAAGCTGCTCAAGTGAAACTTGCATCTCTCCAATGGAGTATGAAGGGAACAAGGGTGGTTTCCTACAATGTGATTGAGGTAATTTTCATCTTTGCCTTGTGCTCAAGAGTGCAGCAAAAGCAATAATTTTTTGATTAGGATTATAGCCACATAGTAGTACACCTTTTCAATAGGGAAGGATGAGAGGGGTGCAGAGTTTTATCAATGGGAATGATTTATGTATAGAATCGTGGGGCAGATGCATTTTTCAACGAAGTAAAAACTAAAGATCTAAGAACAGCCATAGGTTCAAAACTGAGATATTAACTAAATTTTGTTTGGTCTCTTCATGAAAATAAACCATTTTAGTTAGAGCATTTTGTGGTCATGTGACATCAAAAAGGAATAAAATCTGCCTTGTATATTATTATTAGATCTCAGATAAGGTTAAGAATAATTTCTTCTCACATTAAAAATTTTCTAAATATTTAATAGATACTTTCTTAATCAGATGTGTCATGTATTTTTATTTATTTATTTATTTTTGTGTATTTTCGAAATCCCAACAGTCTTTAAAAGGCAGTATCTGAAAGTTTTATTTCTTGATTGATTTAAATGTCATCAATTTTACAAGTAACAAGTATCTAAGGAGATTTTGCCTGCTTGTATAAGCATTCTACTCAATTTATAATTGATTTAAATGTCATCAATTTTACAAGTAACAAGTATCTAAGGAGATTTTGCCTGCTTGGATAAGCATTCTACTCAATTTATAATATACTTTCTCTAGATATGGTAATTTTCCATATGAATGATAACAAGCTCCAGATTCATTTATATATTTTATATTCAAAATTATAAGCTAATTATAGAAATGATCAAGCAACAATCTCAAGTTCTTCCTAATGTGTAGGTCCCTGCGGGTTGTTGTTAACAAAAGCCCATAAGATCAATACTGGCATTCCACAAGGTACTCTTCTCAATCCTACCCTTTTTCTTCTGTATATTAATGATCTGCCTAAGAGCATTGATACAATGGTTTATAGGTGCACCTCCAAAAATCTGGAAGACCAAAACATGATAACTATTCTCTTCTCTGACCTAAACCAGGTGGTTTAATGGAGAAATGACTGACTTGTAAAATTCAATATGGCTAAGACCAAACTAGTAACATTCCAGCATCCCCAAGCACACTCCAAACTTTCACCCACCATGATGGATGGGTGTTCCCTCAAAGAGGCCCTCGCCTTGAACATCTACTGAGTCTCAAGCTCTCCCCAAATCATTCCATGTACACAGATGTGAATCATCCCAATTCCCTTTGTATTCCAACAGTTAGAAGTTCCATTTGGACAGCTTCTTCCCAAGAACTGCTGCTTTGTGGAACAGACTCTCAGCAGGATGTTTTCCCAATCTCTATAATCTTGATCTAAAGTCTAGGGTTAACCATTATCTTTCTTGCATAACCCCATGTAGTTCACTTCTTGCCTTTTCTTATGCTCATACTACACCACACAGTAACCCTCTACCTTGAGTGGCTCTTGGACCTTGTATGGGGTGAATATTAGTATATATATATATATATAAAAATGGTGTACACTCTGATCTTCATCAAGGGTTGCAATTTGAATTCTAGTAGCTTTTAGGGATCTCAAATTGAACTCAATTACCAGATAAAAAAATACTATAGCTAATAGGAAAAAATACACTATATCTGAGTTTATATTTTTACCAATATTACAAATAGCATTGTTTTTCCATCTCAGCTACTCATATTGTTTTATCTTTGGTTGAAGTGTAATAATAGTACAGCAAGATGGTTCAAAACATAACTAAACGTTTCTAGCTTATTTAATTAGTAATTTCATTTTCACTTCTAAACATTTTTTTTTTACAACCAAAGATCACAAAAATCATTATCATGAAATCACTTTATCTAACTACAGAATATATTTTATAGAAATTAGGAAAAAAGCAATAAACATTATTTAAATAACAAAATCAATTGTATTTCATGTACTTGTTTTTTGATTGATTAGTTTTTTATGGCTTATCAAACCATTGCAGGTTATTTAAAGCCAAAAAATATTTTTAGATTGTAAGAATTGTTTTATTTTTTTTAGATAATAATGATTTAGTGATAGAAGTCTTATTAACAATTCCAAGCCATTATCCATTACACTACCCACACATCAAAGCATATAACACCTGGTATTCCCAAGTGGTCACCCATTTAAGTACTGACCAGGTTCGATGTTGCTTAACTTTGGTGGTATAGGAACTGGTGTTTCAACATGATGTGTCCATAAGCCATTTCATGCACTGATTCTCAGATTGGATATTATTATGAGTGATGCTCTAAAAATAATGCCTTCTATTTATTTCTACTGAAACTACAACAAATACAAGAGGGAAAAATAACACTGTTCAATAAGATTCAGATTCACCACTATTGGCTTTGCATTTTTGTCAGTGATGAATAAGAACCTGGTCTGTCATACTTGGAATTTGGCTTATTACTGTCACCACTATTTAAATGCATTATCCACTGCCTGTGCGCTTATCCATTTTTTGGTTTCTGTAAATATTCAGCAAGTGTGGCTGAATGCCAATGGGTGAAATTATTTTTGTGTGGTGAAATTCAGTCATTCATTTCTGCTTCATACACACTTTCATTTCAGATGCCAATTTACCAGACTGCCCCTCAGATGCTATCTGTAACAAAGGCAAAAAAGAAATATGGGTTATTGATAGGAAGGTTCAACTACTACTGACACATCATATCTACCTCTGATGTTGTAGGTCAACTTAATAAAATAGAAAGCATTATTTAAAGAATAACAATCAATAGATATGTTTCAAGACAAAGCAGTAAAATGATGGCTTGAAAATCTGAGGATCTATACAGAGTACCAAATAGATTCAGTTTTATTATCACAACCTCAATGAGAAGATAGAAAACTGTTTTGAATCTCTTCCTCTTCATTTCTTGTGGCTAAAGTAGTTTTGAGAAGTAATAATGGAAAATCCAATGAACAACAATTTCTATCAATCTCTTTTATTCATCTTGTGCATCAAATAACAAGGACAATTCTTTAAACATGTCAACCTACATTTTGCAGTTTCTTCTATTTTTATGCTTTCCTTTCACTGACCTCTGAAGGACTCACATGAAGAGAGAGTGATGACAACAGCATGACTAAATCAGCCTATTCTGTAGCATTTAACAATTCCAAGTAGCAGAGTTTTTGCCTGCTTGTGTCAGCATTCCACTCGGTTTATCACATACTTTTGCAAAATGTGGTAATTTTCCATACCATGTAGGTTTGAAAATGAATAACAAGCTCTGGATTCATTCATAATATCAATTATTTTTCATGTAATTCTTATAAAGCAACAGAAAAACATCCCAAATTACAGAAGCTAATTATAGAAATGATCAAGACCTGTGGAAATCAGTTTTACATTTTATGAATGAAGTATAAAATAATTCATATATTTTAATAGCACAGAAAAATATTTACACTTTCAAATAGTAGTCAATCAATTTACAAAGTATCTTCACAAAGACACAGAATTATCCTATTCCTCTTGAATAGCATCTTAAATTCTATCCACAATTATAATGACATTCAAATAAAATGAATGAGCCTAGATCTTGAGTCAACTGCAACAAGAAAATTCTGAAAGTGTCAAACTTTTTATATTAATAAAAATAAAAAAATCTTGCTTGTGTTTATATCTGTTAAAGATATACCAGAAATCCTGACCTCTTTTTTAGTAGGAAAACTGATACTTGCTACAGTAAATTAAATTTGTACAATATACTACAAACTAGTTTTTCTCAATATCAATTTTCAGTAACTCATTTTTACTCCATGACATAGAGGCATCTGTGATTAAAATTAGAAACTAACTTTCTTCACCTATGTATTTCCATTGATTTTTTTTTTTTTATTTCTAATCATAAGACACAGATCTCCTGCATTTTATAATTATTTTTCTTAGTTTATTATGTTAATTTGTTCAATGAATGAATTGGATAATTTTCTTAAATATTATTTCTGCTGTTTTAAAATATATATAAAAAAAAAAAATATAGAAGTGACGAAAAGTTACTGGCCTGACCCAGAAGGGACTCAATAAATAAATTAAATTCCAATGTTTGGTCAGATTTTAGGAAATGAATCAGGCGGAGAACTTTTCAACACTCACTCATCAAAGAATATAACAAAACCGATTTTAAATAAATACTATTTGAGCTACATTATGCCTCACATGATTTGTCAGTATTTTTGAGATGAATAATTATCATTATAGATGAATTTACATATACTAATTTAACAAGAACAAGCTTACCACATGGATTGAATAAAGAGTTTGGTTTAAAATTCCCAGATTACTATGACTGACAACTAAAGAAGGCTATAGGGTACAAGGCCAAAACATTGTGACTATAACAATCAAGATGAGGACATGAGTACAACTAAAATGGTGCATAATTAGGTTCAAAATATACTAGATATCGGTTTACTACTCTTTGTTTTTTTAAATCATTAATAAAACTTTTGAGATCACAAATATAAGCAAAAGTTAAATATAAATCTTTTTGTCTTACTAGTAAAGCAGAAAAGTAAAATTAAACCCTCTTCAGAGGTTAAAAATTTTTAATTTATTTTTTTCCTTTTATGCATGTACTTTTCAAAGTCCTTTTTTACAGACTCTTACCAACACTTTTCTTAATAAAAATATCAAAAACTTTGGACTTTAATGACTGCTTGTAGTCTTGTTTTAAACTTTTAATGTAAACCTTTTGCAGAGAAGTTCACTTGTAACATTCATTTTAATCAATATATCTTTGTTTATTCCCTTTGTCCTCTTAGAGACTGGATTTTATAGATAGGATTTTGAAAGAACCAAATTAATCCAAACCAAAATATAAAGTATTATCTCTATAAACATTGTGATGCAAAAATATTTTCAAATTTCTTTTTTCATTCATTTGAATGATTGAACATTTAAAAAAAAAAATCTTCCTATTGATGTATGCCTGAAACTTTTGTAATTTTAATTTGTAAATCAATTATTAAATGACTTGTTGAGTATTATTCATTCTGTGTCCTTGCATTCAATATGAAATTTTACCGTCTCTCCAGAAATTGTACGATAGTTGCCTCATGGAGGAATATAAGCAACCTGTTTAATAAACACCCATGTAAATAAAAACTTTTTCTTTTAGTGACTCCATATGAAAAGTGTAACTAATCGGCCTAAAGTAATCTATTTTCTATTTGTACTATTGGAAACACAGGAGGAAAAGAATAATCTTGGCATGACCTGTTAAAATCATAGAGCCTGCTAAATAATTAAGAACAGTTTAAAGATGTGAGTTGAGGCATCTGTTGCTTAAAATTATTTCTATCTAATACTGATAAAATAAATAAGATGTAGACTTCATAACAATTCTGGTATAAAATACATAAATCTTACTTTAAAAAAAAACCCTCACATTCTGTTATGGTGAAACACACCTATTTTATAGTTAATAGACTCTCCCACCTAATATAAGTAGGAGTAGTAAGAGAAATGAGGGTCAGTCAATGTCGGACGAGAGTCGAATATGAAAATATCAGCGACCACAACAAATTCACTGATTTATAATCTAGATCTTTGTGTTCAGATAATTTTTGTTAGCTTATCTCTTTGTTCATTCATACTTTAAAAAAAAAAAAAAGATAAAAAAAAAATTCTAGTTTAAAGATAACTTATCAACAAGCAGTATAGGTTTCAATTAACCCCATCCACTGCTGATGCCCTAATGGCCATTACTCAGAGAATCACTGAGGCACGAGTCAACAAATATATCTCATCTCAAGGATGACTACATTAGATACTTCAAATGCCTTTGACAAGGTGTGTCATAAAAGATTATCTTGGGCCAACTCTCTACTTTACATAAATGATCTGCCTAAAAGTGTACTCAGATTATTTGTGAATATCTATGCTGAAGATACAACAGGATATGAGTGCTTCTCCAAAATTCTAGATAACCAGACACTGGCAGCTGATCTCTGCTCTGACCGAGTTCCAACAGCTCAGTGGAGGAAAATCTGGCTGGTCACATTCAATGTCTTGAAATCCAAGCTAGTTACATTCCATCACTGCTAATTGGACACTGAACTATCACCAATCACAATGAAGGGATACTCCCATGTGTGTGTGTGGGGGGGGGCTGTGTCTTGAGTGCCTACTGAGACCTCTATTGGAACTCGTACATACAATCTATTGTTAAAGATGCTAGTAAAATGATCAGTTCCCTGTACTATTCCGGTAAGTACCTGGCTCCTGCTATCAAGAGCCAGGTCAGGCCCAAAATGGAGTACTGTTGCCATATATGAGCAGGAGCTGTCCAGTCTTCACTTTCTAGTCTCAATAGAGTCCAAAAGTGTTTCCACGTCCTTGTGAGTGATAAATTATTTTCCACCCTACCAGCTCTTTCTCACGAAACATTGCAAGCCTCTTGTTGCTCTATCGCTATTTCCATGAAAAGTGTTCAGATGAACTACATTCCTCATTTTCACCAGTTCTAATCTTCAGTTAAGACTTGCCATGCCAAGCGCATTGTAGCAAACCACCCTCATTACCTTCATATTCCATTGGTGAGATGTAAGTTCCACTCAAGCAGTTTCTTCCTATTAACCAGTGCATTGTGGAACTGACTCCTAAGAGGATGCTTCCATGATCACTACAATTTTAACCTGTTCAAGTCTAGGGTTAACTGTTATTTTCCCCCACATATCTGCATAAACCATGCCTCTTACATGGTAATCCTCTACCTCGAGTACCTTCCTGGCCTTGTACATGGTGAACATCATAGTAAAAAAAATTTTTTTAAATAATATGATTCATATAGTGCTATTAAGAGTTCACAATTACTTAAGTAAAGTGTCAATCCTAATTAAAAAAAAAAAAAAAAAGCTTTAACTTTCTTGACTGATACCTAGCAAGATAACATTTCAGCTGAGACAGAAATAATCATAATGCTCCCCTAACAAAAAAACAGAAAAGAAACTGACATCTCATGTTGTAGTTTAAATTAAACATGTAAACTTACAATAATAAATGATAAAATAAGACAAACACTTAGATATTTTTAAGTTTGTATTTTTAACATGCAAAGTTTCAGAGTTTAAAACAAAATACAAGATAAAGGGTACAAACATTTTTGTCAAAATAATTGGAAAAAAAAATGGCTGAGACAAAAAAAAAATCTAGCATATGTTTTCCAAATTGTATGTT